GGCCATAATAATCATATACATTGTATATTGACAAAATAAAAATTAAAAAAAAAAAAAGTGTCCCTCAATGAATGAATGGATAAAGATGATGTGGTGTATATATATTATTCTATATACTATCATACAAAAGATAACTAAAAGGACTAAAGTTTTTACAAAGGTTTATATTTATACTTTCACACTACCAAGATAATCTTGAAAAATGCCATATATTGTATGGTAGTTTATGTCGAGACTTATTATAAAGCTTTAGTAATTAAGACAGAGATAGATAAATACCACAGTACAACAGAATATGTGTTCTAGGAAACAGAAAATGTGGTGTATATGTACTATTCGGCCATGAAAAAGCAGGAAATTTTGCCATTTGCGATAACATGCATAAGCCTGGTGGACATTACATTAAGAAAAATAAACCAGGCATAAAAAGACAGATACCACATGATCTCACTCATCTGTGGAATCTAAAAAATTGATCTCGTGGAAGTAGAAATGACGGTGGCAACCAGAGGCTGGGGAGCGGAAGTTAGGGAGATGCTGGTCCAAGAATACATATTTTCAGTTAGATGGGAGAATATGTTCAAAAGATATTTGTACAGCGTGGTGACTATAGTTGATGACATATTGTTTTCTTGAAAATGCTGAATGAATGTTAATTGTTCTAACTGCAAAAATGATAACTATGTGAGGTAATGCAGTTGTTAATTGGTTAGATTTACAGACTAGATTTAGTTCTAGAACATCTGGTACGTGCCAGGTGCACCCCGTTTTGTGTTCATTCCTCACCCCCGCAGTCATGAAGCGATGCTCCTTTTTTTAAACCTTCCGGAGCTTTATTGTTTAACTTTCACATACAGCTCTACAATCTACCTAGATCTTTTGAATAGCATCAGATCACAATGAAGTTACATTTATCAAAAAGACCAACCACTTAAAAGTATATCACTTTGTCACCTTTGTAAAAATTTAGTATAATCTATCCATTTTCTTCTGTTCTGAACTCTCTACTCTGTTCTATTGGTATATTTGTCTATGTCTGTCTTAGTTACTTAAGGTTTATAATAAGTCCTGGTGTGAACTACTATATGTTTCTCCACTTTATCGTTTTTCAAGATTATCTTGGCTTTGTAAAAGTATAAAAGCTGTATGAAAGCCTCACCCCTTGAATTTGTCTTCCCCGACGATTTTCGCTACACCCTCCCTCAGCCACTCGTTCCTGTGTTTCACACTCTGGGCCTTGTCAACAGACCTTTACCAATAATCGCAACACCTTCGTCCTCTTAGTAATTACACCTCGCACCCTCATCACCTGCTTTTTGCCCGATCACTGCCATATCATTTTGACTTCAGCAACCCATGTACCCACCAGAAGATCCAACCCCTGGTGTTCCCGCCACATTTTCAGTGTTTCCAACTTATTTACTTCTCCCTTCCTTAAACAGTTCAAATTCCCCTACATACATGCTCCATTTCCTTGCCATTCTTTCACTTCATAATAACTTGGCAAAAATATGATTTATCAATCTTCAAAATGTTAACATAGAAACATGTTAGAACTAGGATTCTATAACTGGCCAAATTATTGATAAAATGTGGTGGCAAAATAAAAGTACTTTCGTTAATAAAATAACTCAATGTTTGCCATTCATATGCACTGTGTTAAAAAAAAAAAAAGAACCAAGTCAAAAATTACTCCAGAAAAACAGCCAAGGTTTCCAAGAAAGAAACATGGGATTTAACTTTCTGCGGCAGTTGGTTTTGCCCATAAGGAGTAAAATAAGTTAGAAAAAATGTAAGATACCCCATTAGATCCTAATTCCTAAAATATCCTCCTTTAACCACCAAAAGTCTACTGACATAAGAAATATAGATTTCTTTATTCAAAATTTCATATTTGATATATATACACACACACACATAATACTGTAAAATAAGATTTACTGGTTAAATGTTTTCCTCAATCTACAAAGTATGAAAATCCTCTAGAAAAAAATTTAAAATTTTATAAATCTTGATAACAAATAGAAGTGTACAACTATGTTACATCCCTTATTTTTCAAAGCAAGCGATCAGTGTATATTGCCTAAGGTATATAGATGTCATTTAAAATGAAAATATAAGAACCTATATTTAAATATATCTGAGGGTACTTTTAAAAGTTCGTGGAGGGGGCCGGCCCGGTGGCACACTGGATAGTGCGCTGCTTGGGAAGCGCGGCGGCGCTCCCGCCCGAGGGTTCGGATCCCACGTACAGACCGGTTCCCGCTCACTGGCTAAGCGAGGCGCGGGGGCAGCACCGAAGGTTGCAGTCCCGTTGCCGGTCCCCGGTCCGGTGCGGGGGCAACACTGAGGGTTGCGATCCATTGCCGGACACGGAAAAAGACAAAAAAAAAAAAGTTCGTGGAAAGATTTGCATTATCTTTTAATTGCATTTTTCATGAACTTTCTGAAGTACTCTCACATATACTTAAATGCACTAAATATAAATATGTCAAATATAATGTTACCAATGTTTTCTACAGTTTATAAATCAAAATAGAGGTCATGGAATATATTTTTTAAATAAATGAATTTAACCAATAGAAGAACTTAAAAAAGAACTCTTAAATTCTTTAATAGGACTACATCAAGGGGATAAAGGAGAGAGTTTCATTATGATTTTTTTGCTTTGTGTATCTATACAGTCACGTGTCACCTAACAATGGGGATATGTTCTGATTGTCATTAGGCGATTTTGTCATTCTACAAACAATGTAGAGTGTACTTACACATACGTAGAGCCTATTGCTCCTAAGCTACAAACCTATACAGAGGTTACTGTACTGAATACCATAGGCAACTGTAACACAATAGCAACTATCTGTGTATCTAAACATAAAAAAGGTACAGGAAAAAATATATAAAAGATAAAAAATGGGAAACCTGTATAGGGCACTTATCATAAATGGAGCTTTTAGGACCAGAAGTTGCTCTGGGTGAGTCAGCGAGTGAATGTGAAGGCCCACCTAGTACATTATTGTACACTACTGCAGACTTTACAGTGCACATAGGCTACACTGAATTTATTTTAAAAAATAAGGTAATTGCACTATATCATTATGACAGCTATGATGTCACTAGGTGATAAGAATTTTCAGCTTCATTATAATCTTATAAGACCACCATCATACATGCAGTCCATCATTGACAGAAACATCATTATGCAGTGCATGACTGTAGTTTAAAAAATTTACCATGTACATGCATTACTTCTGGGTAAAAAAAAAATATGTATTAGAAATAAAATATGTGCTGAAAAATCTCATTTTGCAAAAAAAATAAATAAATAAACTATATAAAGAGAGAGTTAACAGTAATAGATAAACAGTGAAAGACACAAAGCAGAAGACATGTATCAATCAAAATGTTAATAATGGTCATCTGCACCTGGATGGTAAGATGACAGATTACATAAATCATCTTATGTGTTCTGATATGTACTTAACAAATTTGAAATGATTAACACAAATTATTTTGCAATTAAAAAACAATATTTAAACTTGTTTCTCAAAAGAACGTGGGATAGGAAAATGGCTCAAAGAGCTACATTACCTATAAATGATATATTTAATTTTGCTAATGATTTTTATATATAACACATTTATAAATACTATAAATATTTAAACTACACATAACAATCTTTTAAATACTGTATATTGAATATTTGAAACATTTAAAATAATTTTTGTTGGAGTTTTTGTTTGTCTTTATTTTGAAGCTATTTTATGTTAGAATATTTCTCCAATTTTATGTCTACAAGAAAAATCTATTTGATACTTGTTCTATAAATATTCCTCCTTCTGTATAATACAACATTTTAATAGTAACAGCAAACAAATGTAATCTCTAAATGCAAACATAAATGTAAACTGTATAAAATATATGCTATTGTGTTGAATAATTTTTCAATGTATAATTTTTTAAAGTAAGATTAAATAATTACATACCAATGCAATTCCGGCAGAATAACGAGTAACACACATCTTTCCACGAAATGTTGCTCCCACATAATTTGAATAATCTTTATAACTAAATAAATAAGTATACATTTACAATTAATTTTAATGAACAATTCCAATCTGAGCAATTGTGATAATATTTAAGGCTGTAGTTCATAAAATCCTAGTCTGAAGTAAATTGAGGTATAATATTTCCATATGTCCTTAATTGCCTCAAATTTGGAAGATATTCTTAATTAAATTGTATTAAATACTCTGATTTCTAAAACATATTCAAGGGCTCCAAATTTTGGATGACTTTACTGTTGTCATTACATTTGGTTAAGGTTACCAAATGCTTTGATCAAAACATTTTGTTGAGTAACAGTGACAGTTTTAATCTATGGATTAAAAATTTGTCCTTACTACTCCAAATTTTGGATGACTTTACTGTTGTCATTACATTTGGTTAAGGTTACCAAATGCTTTGATCAAAAACATTTTGTTGAGTAACAGTGACAGTTTTAATCTATGGATTAAAAATTTGTCCTTACTATGTAGAAAAGCCCAGCAATTTTTTATAGGAATGCCTTCATTGTTGTACAACTAAACAATTTTATTTCAGACTTGAGTATGGGCCCATATAAACTGTCATATAATAATAGCACTATTGTCAAAGCCTTACATGAATTATCCCATTTAATCCTCAAAACACACCAGAGAACTAGGTATTATTTTTAGCTCTATTAAACAAATAAATATCACATGGCAAGTATAAGTAATTCTCTCAGGGTAGCAATATTAACAAGTGCACTGAAGAATGTGAACTTAGGTGGTCTGAATCAAGAGCCATACTCTCAACCACTAAAGTATGGACATTCCAAATATAAACTGCCATCCTTAGAGCCCTCACCAAAACAAACGTGCCAGGATGTGTGTGAAAAATCTTGGTATTCCACTCTCAATGTGAAATGCCCCTTCTGTAACAATTGCACTTCACTTCATAAATGCAGTGTCTCCCCACAGCTGCCTTTATTCTGTTGCTCAGATACTGTTTATATCTAAGCCCTCTGGCACTTGTTTCCAAGTATTTGCTCCTAACACCCAACATTTGATTTACATTTCAATGTCTAAGCCTGCAGATGCCCTTTCTTCAGCCAAAGTAGATCCTCCAACAGGTATTTTAATAAACCCCTGTCTTTACAAGTCCTAAGACTTCCTCTAAAACTCTGTGCATACTGATGATGAGCTCAATAATATTTATTTTTTCTTTATACTGCCACCCTTTGATGTGTTCACCCCACATCAAATCAGCTATCAAAATTTATTGATTTAGTTCTTCAATATTTTTTGTTTCCTTTTCCTCCCTCAAAAGTTTCGCCTCAGTTCTACACTTATGATCATTCCCATAAAAGCTGTAAGGTTGTTATTCAAACTGTTGATATAACATGAATCCATGAATATTGCCTTAATATTATATACAGACAAAGGCATGTATGTACACATGTACCTGCACGCGCGCGACACACACACACACACACACACACACACACACACACACACACACACACACATTTTAACCCAAAGCCAGCATGCGCGCACACACACACACACACACACACACACACACACACACACACATTTTAACCCAAAGCCAGCATTAGAGCGGTTTTAGGTTCACAGGAAAATCGAGCAGAAAGTAGAGAGAGTTCCGTATACCCTCTGCCCGCCCCCCCACACCTCCACCGTATCAGCATCTGCCACAAGAGTGGTGCGTGTGTGACAACCAGTGAGCCTGCGCTGACACAGCACTGTCACCCAAAGTGCACAGATTTTAAAAACCTAGGAAAGTCATCAATAACTACAAAACCTATATGAAAGAAACAACCACTGAAAGAAACAATGAAAGGAAAGACAATATATCTGAGATTGGAAAACAAAACAATTCTCCATAAGTTAATTTATAAATATAATGTGGTTCTAATAAAAATACCAACCTTTTTAAGAAGCTAGACAAGTTCAAAAGTTTCCATGGAAAATAATTTTTAAATGTCCTCTATGTCCATGAAGTGGGAAGGCCTTTCTAACCATGACTCAAAAATCCAGAAAATAAAATAAAAACCTGATAAATTCTTCTTCATAGAAATAAAAAGATTTTGTATGGCAATTTTTAAGAAAGCCATTTATGACAAACCAATCACCAATATCATCCTGAATGGGGAGAAGCTGAAAGCTTTACCTTTAGGAACAGAAACAAGACAAGGATGCCCACTGTCACCACTCCTACTTAACACAGTATTGGAAGTACTAGGCAGAGAAAGAAATAAAGGGCATCCAGATTGGAAAGGATGAAGTCAAACTGTCTTGTTTGTAGAGGACATGATGTTATATATAGAAAAACCTACTGACTCTACCAAAAAACTCTTAGAGCTGAATAACATTTTCAGTAATGTTGCAGGATACAAAATCAACATGCAAAAATCAGTAGCAGTTTTATACTCCAGTAGAACATGAAATCAAGAAAGCAAGCACACTTACAATAGTTACAAAAAAACCCAAAAAACAAAACCTAGGAATTGACTTGACCAAGGAGGTGAAAGATCTCTACAATGAGAACAATGAAATACTACTGAAAGAAATTAAGAAGGAGGACACAAAAACATGGAATGACATACCATGCTCTTGGATTGGAAGAATTAACATTGTGAAAATGTCCATTCTACCCAAAGCAATGTATAGATTCAATGCAATTCCCATCAAAATACCAATGACATTCTTCACAGAAATAGAAAAAGCTATACTATCATTTTTATGGAACAACAAAAGACCCTGAATAGCCCAAGCAATCCTGAGAAGAAAAAAAAAAGCTGAAGGCATAACACTACCCAAATTCAAATACTACAAAGCTATAAATAGTATAGTATTGGAATAAAAACAGAAGGTTGAATCAGTGGAACAGGATAGAAAACCTGGGAATCAACCCACATATTTAACAGCCAACTGATCTTTTTTTTTTTTTTTTTTGGTCTTTTTTTTTTTTTTTCATGTCCGGCAACGGATCGCAACCCTCAGTGTCGCGCCCGGACCGGACCGGGACCGGCAACGGGATCGCAGCCCTCGGTGTTGCGCCCGCACCTCGCTCAGCCAGTGAGCGGGAACCAGTCTGTATGTGGGATCCGAACCCCTGGCGGGAGGGCCGCCACGCTCCCAAGCAGCGCACTGTAGCAGTGCGCCACCGGGCCGGCCCAACAGCCAACTGATCTTTGACAAAGGCAACAAGAACATACATCAGGGAAAAGTCTACCTCTTCAATAAATGGTGCTGGGAAAATTGGACATCCATATGCAGAAGAATGAAACTGGACCTGTACCTCTCACCATATACCTAAACCAAAACAAAATGGATTAAAGACTTAAATATAAGACCAGAAACCATAAAATTACTAAAGGAAAACTTTGAAGAAACACTCCAGGATTTAGGACTGGGCAAACACTTTATGAATAACACCCCAAAAGCACAAGCAACAAAAGAAAAAATAAGCAAATGGGATTATATTAAACTAAAAAGCTTCTGCACAGCAAAGGGAACAATCAACAGAGCGGAAAGACAACCTACAGTATGGGAGAAAATATTTGCAAACTATACATTCAACAAGGTATTAATATCCAGAATATACAAAGAATTCAAAGAACCGTACAGTAAAAAAACAAATAATCCAATTAAAAAATAGGCAAAGGAGCCATGTCAGAACAAGCAGGAGCTGCACACTGGGGCACCCCCGGCCCAGGCCAATCCCCACCACTCAGAGAGGGCCTGTAGCCGCTGGGCCCACATGCCCTAAGTCAGCCATGCTGGAATAGACAGGAGCCATGGGAACCCCAACCCAGGTCAGTTCCTGCTGCCCAGAGAGGCCTGAGAGCCACAAGGCCCACACACCCCAAGTCAGCCATGCCAGAACATGCAGGCACTGCAGGACCTCTAGCCCAAGCCAGTCCCCACTGCCCAGAATTGGCAGTCCCTTGGGGATCCAGGCCAGACATCAGGATGGAATGAGTGAACCATCATACCCCCTGCCACAATGACTAAACACCAAAGGAAATATACCAGAAATATGAAAAGTCAAGAAAGTATGACACCACCAAGGGAAAATAATTCTCAAACTCTAGATCCTACAAAACAGGAAGTCCTTGAAATAACTGACAAGGAATTTCGAGCAACAATTCTAAGAAAACTAAATGAGATACAAGAAAACTCAGTCAGACAACACAATGAAATGAGAAAAAATATACAGGACCTGAAAGAAGAAATGGAGAAAGAAATTAATACCCTGAGAAAGAATGTAGCAGAGCTTGTGGAGCTGAAGGATTCACTCAACGAAATAAAAAACACAAAAGAGAGTTTAAGCAGCAGGCTAGAACAAGCAGAACAGAGAATTTCTGACCTTGAAGACAGGCTGTTTGAATTAACACAGGCAGACCAAAAAAGAAAAGAGAATTTTTTTTAAATTGAAGAAAATCTAAGAAAGATAACAGACAACCTTAAGAGCTCAAATATCCAAATCATGAGTATTTCAGAAATGGAGGAAGAAGGAAATGGCATTGAAAACATATTTGCCAAAATAGTAGTGGGAAACTTCCAAGGTATAGGGAAAGCCACAGATCTTCAGATTCAAGAGGCCCAAAGATCCCCAAACATATTCAACCCAAAAAGGTCCTCTACAAGATATGTTATAGTCAAACTGGCAAAACTCAAAGACAAAGAGAGAATCTTAAAAGCTGCAAGAGAGAAGCATCAAGTCACCTATCAGGGAGCCCCAATCAGACTAACATCACACTTTTCATCAGAAATCCTAAAAGCCAGAAAAGAATAGGGTGACATGCTCAAAATACTAAAGGACAAAAATTGTCAGCCAAGAATACTTTACCCCAGCAAGGCTATCCTTCCAAAATGAAGAACAAATAATATATTTCTCAGACAAACAAAAGCTGCAGGAGTTCATTCACTACCACACGACCAGCCTTACAAGAAATTCTCAAGGTAGCACTGGGTTTGGTACTAGAAAAACAACCATCACTGCCAAGAATACTCAAG